CTCTCCAGAACGTGGGCCAAAACTGTATCAACATCAAGCCAGCTCAGAGCACAAGTTGTCATATGAATACCACACTCACCTTGTGTGCGCACAAGGTATGCATTGGGTATGCACAATCTCTTCTGCCCATCTGACAGAAGTCTGAGATCATTAATCTATGCAGGCAATAAGGTGGTCACATGGGTGAAGCTAAGCATTCTCAATAACAATGCCCTGGGGAAGTGAGAAGATATGGTATGTGGATCAGAGTTGCTGAGGTAAGCCACAAAGATTATCTACATAGCCTGCTTGATTGTTGACTCAGTATGAAACAGAAATGTCAACTTTTGAACAATTACTTCTTCATGAGTGCAATTGTGACAACTTGGATGAGCCAAGTCATTGTTGAACTACAACTCACATGGTTGCATGTAGGTCAAGTATCTCACGTCAAACCGCTTATTGAATCGACTGAAAATTGAAATTTCTTCTCCTCTGCTACTGTATGTTGCTTACCATATGTGTGTATCAGTCCCAGCTCCATCTTGATGTAACTCAAATTCATCTTCAAATGTATCAAAGCCCACCCAGTGGCCGGCTTTGATGAGGCCACACCTGAGCTCCTGATCAATTTCACAAAACAACTGACTTTGAGTTGGCACAGAAAAGGGCGAAGGAATTGGATGCGGAGCCAAGTAATAGAGCAGTTAGAATATCTGTACAATTTGGTAATATATCATGAAATTTTGACAGGTATACCTGGGAATACCTGCAATCCCCACCTGTGGATTCAGATATCTGGGCCTCGGATGGGGCCACGGATGTGGGTAGACCTTTCGGAAACTGAAATACCCACAGGTATTGGCATGGATAATCTGCAGATTCACTTGTGTCATGCCTTAGATGGTAAGCATGTCGGAGAACAATTTTGCTATAAATCCATGCTTTTCCAGGGCTTTCCAGTAAGTCAGAAAGTCAGGGAAGCGGATATCGGTCTTTCTTCATGATTTTGTTGAGACTGCAGAAATCAATACAAAGTCAGAGTCCACCTAATTTCTTCGAGAACAGTACCAGAGCACCGTGCAGAGAAAGTGAAAGGCAGATAAATCCTGTGGCTAGAGTCTTGTCAATGAACTTTTGGAGTGTTTCTAGCTCCACTGGAGATAAGGAATAAATAGTTCCCAAGGGGGGACTCTCTCCCTCTATCAAGTCAATCTTGAGATCATATGGGTGGTGATTGGCAAGAATTTCCACTTTCTTCTTGCTGAAGACGTCGGAAAACTCGTGATATTCCGATGGAACACCATCAAGATTGGCTGTCAGATTGGGATTCGGGGAAGCATTGATGACTGAAGCGGGTTTTCCTTTTGGGATTATGCATAACTGAAAGATCTCTTCTTTGTCTAGTTTGCAAAGGTGAGCAAATGCAGAGACTAGGTCGATAGGTAAGTCTTGTGAGGATGTCAGAGGGCCGTCTGCATGAATGGATTTCGGAGTTCTGGCGACCATGGAAGCAGATTTTCCAGAAAGTGACATCAGAATTGAATCTTGCTGCTGAGGAATGCAAAACAATATACTACCCAATGCCCAGTCAATCAATGGATTGTAGCAGGTGAGCCAGTTGTGTCCTAGCATGACAGAGCAGCTAGAATCAAGTGGTGTTACATACATAGCAACAACCTGATTTTTGCCAGATGGAAAACAGATTTGTATATCAATAGCCTGCAAGATCACAACATTAGAAGTGCCGTTGAAAAGCTTTAGCAGAATCTGCAGAATATTGTGGAAATCCAGCGGAAGCTTGGAAGTGAATGATGAATCTACAAAACAATGAGTGGAACTGGAGTCCACGAGAGCTTGGATATTAGTATTCAGAGAAATGTTGGAAGTTAAAGGTATAGTAAGAGAATCGGATTGCGAAAGAGAAGCATTGAGTTGAACCTTGGAAAACACACAGATGGAATCAACACAGCTCTGGGTCTGTGCAGAGGTCTCAGAGCTGCTTATTATTTTTTTGAATCTGTAGTGGCCATAGGTTCGGCTTTGGATTCAGGTTTGCTCAGAGTTGTGGAGGCCACTCAGGCCTTTGCTTGAGCACTGAGGGATGTCAACCAGGGGCAATCTTTCACAATATGTCCAGGTCATCTGCATAACATGCATAAGTTCTGGTCCATGTGTCACTGTTGTTCCTGCTGGGTTAGCTTTCTGTCCCTTCAGAGTACATTGGAAATGTCCAGAGACCTGCAGGAATTTGATGCAGAGGATTGAGGTTTGGTGGAAGAAGATGCGGAATTATTGCTGTTGTTGTTCATCTTCTTCTGGGATTGGTTGGATTGGGATTCTTGCTTTGCCAATTTACTGTTATTACCAGAGTTGTTGTTGTTGGAAGTGGTGGTGTGGTTGACCTCGCCTCGCCGTTCACCTAATCTGGGCCATTTGTTCCATCACTTTGTGCTCATGAGCATAAAATGATGATCCATAGGGAGCACTGCTAACCCATGGAACACCTTGTTCCATGGAGCAGCTGACATAAGGTGACTAATGTTGATGTGTCAGATTATGACTAATCAAGCTGACTAAGCACTCCGGAGGTCCAAAAAAACCATTTACAAAAATAACTTTGGTATGAAATACCCATATAAAATAGTAACACATTCTGTGAATTGAACCCTAGACCTCAAATATACAAAGAATGCATGGAATAATAAACCACTTCACTATACAAGCTTATAAGCACTTGGTGAATTAGATATACATATACCCCAGTGGAAAGGGCACTATTCAGACTCTCATCCACTCTGCCTTTTGGTTTATAAAAATGAATACCATTAACAATCCAACATACAAAAGTATGAAGGGCATTGCATTTTGAGTAGTGGCCTTGGGTATATGTATATCTAATTCGCCTAGTGCTTATAAGTTTATGTAGTGAAGTGGTTTATTATTCCATGTATCCTTTGTATATTTGAGGTCTAGGTTTCAATTCATAGAATGTGTTACCATTTTATATGGGTATTTCATACCAAAGTTATTTTTGTAAATGGTCTTTTTGGACCTCCGGAGTGCTTGGTCACCTTATGTCAGCTGCTCCATGGAACAAGGTGTTCCATGGGTTAGCAGTGCTCCCTATGGATCATCATTTTGTGCTCATGAGCACAAAAATGATGGAACAAATGGCCCAGACTGCCTGCGCCGTTCCCAATAACGACTGTTGATGGTTTGCACAAGTTGTCAGAGTTCCAGTAGCGTGTTGGCTTTGTCCTGGGTCGCAAGAATGTCCTTAATACGATCAGGAAGTTTAGACCCCCTATGAAGGGCGGCATCACCCCAATTGATTCTAACGGCAAGACAGTTAAACTCTACAATAAACTTTGTGATGTGTTGGTTGTCGTGCATTTGGAGATTGTCGAGTTTGGTTTCCACATCACCGATGGGGTCATAAGTTCTGAAATTCTCTTGGAGTATCATTGTGAAGTCCTGATAGCTGGTGAGCCAAGACAGGTCTTCAAAGGCATCATCATCTAAGAGTTTGGGTTCAAAGAAATCTAATGCTGTTCCTTTGAGAAAGGAAATAGTGTAAGTGACTTTGGCTTCATCATTAGAAACAGTCTGGGGATGGTTGCAAAAATGAAGTTTGCACTGAAGGAGGAAGGGGTGGAGTTTGCAGGAATCCGATCCATTGAAAGTGTCAGGTTCACAGAGTTTGGTTTTTCCACTTTGACTCTTGGTTGGGTTTCCCATGTGCCTAGCTATCTGTTTCAAAGCTTTTAGCATTGCTTTTCCTTCGTCTTCATCCTCATCATCCTCATCTTCAAGATTGTTGTCACTGTTGTCATTGTTGCTGGGGTCACCCTCTGGTTTGTTATCCAGGTATCTGGGTTTGAAGGGTTTTATTCTGGTGGTGGTACGGGATCTGGTGTTAAAAGGCATAGTGAAGAATCAAGAGGTTTAGTTTGAATATACTGTTATGAACTTGATTTCCTCTCGTCGGATTTGTTGGATTTGTTGGAGTTTGGAATTTGGAGTCAGGATTGTGCAGACATTGACTTCAACTTATAGGTTGTGCCCTCTTGGATCCTTCATGCCCAGGTATTTCGGAGAAGTTGGAATGTCAGAGATATCAGAGGAGTCAGAGCATGGAGGAGTCAGAGAGACTTAGATGAGAACATATCGAGTCAAGGTGGATCAATATTCAAACTAAGGAATGGGGTACATCCAAGAGTCATATATAACAAATAGATACGGTCCAAGTCGGAAAGATATGAAATGCAGAAATCCAAAACAGAACTAATATGGGATCGGAGGTAATGATGAATATAGATATAAGACCGAAGATGTAGATCTTGATAGGAAATGACTAAATATAACTGGAACGGGGATAAGTAGAATGGGTGAAGCGAATCAGAAAACATATCGGAAATGTGAATCGGAATATGTCGGAGAAGGGCAGAAAAGCTGGGAATGAATCTGGGTTCTAACACTATTGATGCATATTGGAGGTACTGGAGCTCAATGACACTTTTGCAGCAGATGTTCAAATACATATTTATGTGGTTATGTTTATACATAGGTAATATATAGAAAGTTCATACTACAGAATATAATCCCTTATTTCACTCTCATTGGTGTGCCAGAGCATGTTCTTTCTCAGCAGATACTTTAAATGCAGATATTCACCTTCAGCAAAGATGTATCTAAAATTATAGGACACTACATTAGCATTTGCAGCCACAGTAGGTATTGTCATCCATCTGGCAAAGCACCTTTCAGTCCCATGCTTCATGAGCTTTCAATTCTGATTAGGGTAATTGCTCATATCAGGGACAATTTTTGTGTTTGTTGCCAAGCTGTAGACCAAGGGTGGCTATGAGAGACAGGCCTGAACCTAATCCCCAGGCAATGTGTTAATTGCTTCAAGCCTCAGATGGCCAACCGGAGTTTACAGAGTTCAACAGACTTCGAACCCGGAAGATGGCTTGTACCGACACACCATAATTGTCGGTATCCCTGCCAATTAATATGGCAACATGACCGAGTGGTTAAGGTGTCAGATTCGAATTGTTTACTGTTATTTATCTGATCCTCTTTGAGGGCGCAGGTTCAAATCCTGCTGTTGTCGGCTTTTAAGGTTTAAGTCCTGTTGTTGTTGTCATGTTTGTGTGCCTCAAAAATTTTCACCTGTGCAGCATTGAAAGCTACGAGCCCATCTAGATGACCAAGGAGTTAGGAGTCTCACGTTGTCGCCACTATGTTTAATTAAGTCTCTTCTGTCGATGGTGTTTATTACTTGGCCCTGACTTTCGCGTCGAGTTATAGGGAGATCGCGTGTTGTCTGCTAAGATAGTCTTCGCAGTACTCTTCCTCGTTGCTGTTTAGTACGAATGAAAGTCGGGAGATAAAGGGAACCTCGTCGGCGTCAAGGACTTTCGGGTCAATGAAAGCTGGTATGCAAATGGGATTGAACGTGGCAAGGGGGAGGTTAGGAAAGGGCTTCGGAGCACAAAGGGAACGCGCGTCCTTCATCTCGCTATTGGCGGCTCGAAACGTGGATGACGTGAATTACATCCGTCGACTCCGACGTTGCGCTTTGCTACAGTAGTATATATTAAGCCTTGGAATCATCTCTTTAGGTGGCGGCGGGAGCGGTAACATTTGTCAGTAATAGGGGATATCGCAACGACCGTTTCGACGGTCGTTTTGATGGCCCGTTTCGACACTCGTTTCGATTTCCTGTTCGCCCGGCATGATGGCATCGGGCTCCTAATTAATATATTTAGCTAAGATCAAACATACCTATTTTTCCGGTGAAGGTACCATTAGAATAACAATAAAATTTTGTAGTCCGACAACTACTGTACAGCTGCAAGACCCTGTCCTTTCACATACTACGTGACTGCTCTTTCCTGTATCCATGCCCAGTCCAAAGTGACGAAAAAAGCCCATCACCATCTCTCTTCCTTCTGTCAGCAGTTCAGAGAAAGATAAAACTCAGCTGAGGCGGTGGTGGGTCTTTGGATTTGGATTTGGATTTGGATGTCTTTGAGTCCATATCTAGAAGCTTGAAATGTGCCGCCTGACCTTCAGCGAGTGTTTGGAGCACAAAAAGTTCCAGTAGTTTGTTGGCGGCGCAAGCAGAAGGACAAACGGAGTTTACTGAGTCCGAGCCGGGAAGGCGGCTTGGAACGAACCTAGACTCCAGGGTGACATAACAAGCAACCCGACAGTAAAAGTTATTGTGCCGATCTCACGGCACCAGATTTCTCTCCCGGATACTAATTTCTAAACGACTTCTAAAACTACTTTGAAACCGAAAAGAAATGGGGGATATCACGCTCCAAAACGGTTTTGCCAGTTTCGCCGCGGATTCCCCGCCGTTCGAAACGGCTGTCGAAACGACCGTCGTGATATCCCCTATTAGAATGATTCTTGCCCTGGCTATTGAATGGGCAGACCGCAAACTTTCCAGCATGGGATCCTGATGCCGAATGAAAAGCAAGCCAATTAACGATACAGTCACCACTCGGACAGTCACGATGACAGACACTCAATAACATCTTGGCTTGTGCAGAATCTGTAGCATCATCAGAAAACTTATTATCATTGAAATTCTAAAGTCAGACAATCAATGCATAATAACCGAGATGCATGGAAGAAACACACCGTCACCTCGTGCGGTCCAGGTTGAGTTGAGGACGGGAAGACGTCTGAGGATAGCGCATCTTAGTACTTCGACTTTCCCCCTGTTGCCTTTACTTCAGTTCCACTGTGAGGCATTGACTGCACCTACATCTTCTGCGTAGTCGACATCGTCTGAAACACTTGTGAAGTGGACATCGTCATGAACACGAACATGAATGTACATACTCAGGCATCTCAAGGGGCCACGAGAGTCCATTCCAAATTGGAGGAGTTCAGGAGTAAGAAGGGTCGTGGTTTTACATCCTAGTAAGATCACGTGTTATTTTCGAACGTCATTTTAACCTGCTCCATCATTTAATCGCAGATATTTTCCTCGAAGATGTCTTGCTCGAGACAAACCTCAGCTTCCGTGTGGCAGCGTTGCAAATGACGTAACAAAATATCAAGAGGAGCAATGCCGTTCTTTCTGTATGATTCCGAAAGGGTCAACCTTCTGTGAATTTCACATCAGCTGATCTTGCTAGAGGATGAACAATGTAACCGCAACCCAGCACCCTCCACAACCCTCTTCACTAAAGGGGCGACCACCTTTCGAGTCGCTGAGGCATTTCTCTGCTTCCAAATGCGGGCAATTGATCCCTTGGAGGTCACGATGTTCCCTCCCGGCTCCCTGGTAACGCCTTCTGAGAGCAAGTTCTTACCCATGTCTCTGCGTTCCAGCTCTAATTCTGCAGATGCCTCCAACCCCTCCCATAAAGCTTTTACCAAGTCCCCGCGCTCACGTGCCACGATCCATATAATTTGCCGCCTGTGTTGACCATTTTTCAGAGAATTATAGGTGCATAGGGCACCCAGGGCACCCAGGCCCTGTTCCTCCATCCATGCGTCCATGGATTGCCAGAACTCAGGAGAACTCTCTTTATGTAACCATCTTTTGGGACTCAAAGGTACGGTTGCGATACCGATAGTGACCGGGGATGAGGAATGCAAGGGGGAGTTAAATGTGTACTCTTTGTAGTCTCTGCGAAGAAGATCTCGGGATGAAAGGTGAGTCACTGATTGTTTACGCTCGTCGAGCCTCGAAATTATAGCGCGTAGATCTTCATGAATATTCGTTGATTCAGCACCAAAATGCGAGGTTAACGACGCAAATGTTGATTTGGGGAGGAGAAATTTGGCTGCATTGCGATCAATCGCAACAGCCTTCCCTCCAGACTTTAGACCACGCGTGTCTATAAAAATGGCGCATAGTAGTAGAGATGCGAGTTCTGCTGGTGGGGAAGATTCCGCTTTCACCCAAGAGTCACTGAAATATTGAGTCACCATTGAAGCGCAACTCCCCACGGGTACAGTGATAATTCTAGGATTCGCCTCTCGGTGGAATCCTTCATCTTCGTGATGATCAATAATCGCCATTACGTTGGGAGGATTAGAGAATTCCTTGGCAGCAGGAAACCGAGGAGACAAGCGATTGTGATCAACCAAGGCAAATGAGGAAAGGCGGGGTAACAACTGAGTGGGTATGTCATCGATACATAGTAAATCTGTTTGGTTCGACTGAAGCTGCGCAAGATCGTATGCGTATATGTTTTCCGCACGAAGTAGCAGGTCCGTCCGGGCTGTCTGAAGGAGAGCAATTGTTGGCCGATTAAAAAGATTAGAAGCCAGGTATGAATAAGCTATTGAGCTTGCAGCAGAGTCCAAATCTGCAGGTAGAGTTTATTCAGGATATATCCTTTTGCTACAGTGCAGAAACGTGCCTCCTGCTTCGTTCCCAGTCACAACAGTCCAACCTTGGCTATTACCTGATTTCAGATCGTCAAGATATTTAGACCGATTGAGAGCCAAAAATTTCGATAGGGACAATGTGTTAGCCATGGAGTATCGTCTGGAGTATGAGAAGGGATGGAGGTGGTATTGACAGAGTCTTCTCATCGATGATCGGAGCTTGACGGAGGTTGAACGGACTCCTTATATTACAGGCGCCTCGTCCATTTATTCTACCATGTCTTCACCACTCCCATACCCAACCTCTGATGATGTCAACATGGAGGATGTGCCGGTTGGAGAGACTATTCCCAATGCTCCCAGTCGTGTACCACTTTTTAATCCGTCGTCCCCCTCCACCCCCGGCACGCCCAGACGCGGTGGACGTGCAAATGCCGCGTCATCTACACCCATGCGTGGCACAGTCGCAAGACGGGCATTGGGATTGACCTCCCGCAGACCGCACGTAGTCAATAGTGAGCAAAATCGCGTCGAAAAACGCTTTTTTACGCGTTTGAACGCGTCTGAATGATCCTTAGCAGGTGCATCCGACCCACCGAGTCAAGATAATCCTATTCTCGAGTTTCCCAATTCACCTACTCCAAAACGTAATAGGCGTGGCGACATCCACTCCTCTGCCGTTCTCGATTCTCCTGCTCCGCTCTTCCGGAGTCCCAGAGTCAATAGAGACGTTCCTAACTCGGATGGAACTAATCTCGCACTTCCACAGTCCTCTGCACCGGTTCTTTCTGCTCCAGGAGAGCCATCAGAAGGCCCAGAAAATTATCGTGCCATCTGGGGAACTAACGTCTCTCTTCTCGAGTCTATGGCTCTCTTCACAGATTTCCTTCGTGGCTTCAAGACAAAATATCGTATCAACTGGGACCGTGAGCATGGCGTACCTACTCGAGCCATGGCTGCACCAGAGGAAGGAGAAGAGCTGCTCTACGAGAGTTTCTTGCGACGCATGCGTACAACAGGACAAACCAACTTGAATCTCGATTCCATCAATTTACTGTCATATCCGCCTGCGCGTAAGCTTCATTCGCAGCTGCTCAAGTACCCACAGGAAATCATTCCCGCCATGGATCAAGTCTTAAAAGACCTAATGCTAATACTTGCGGAGGAAGATCACGAGGCGGGTGTGGAGGGTATGGCTGGGGATCAAGGACAAGAAGAAATAGACGAAATCATGGGTAGAGTATACAAAGTGCGGCCATTTGGCGAGAATGCTGGGAATATGAGGGATTTGAATCCAAGTGGTTCGAACATCGCTTTCTTTAGGATGATGCATTTGACGAACTCGTCATCCAGACACTGACAAATTGGTGACCATCAAGGGCCTTGTTATTCGAGCTACGCCAGTCATCCCGGATATGAAAACAGGTTGGTTATTACTGCAGTCATCAACATATATATCCTGATGATTACGCCTCAGCCTTCTTTCGGTGTCTAACATGCTCACATACGGTGCAGGTTGAGATAGACCGTGGACGTATTGCTGAACCAGAGCGATGTCCGCGCGACTTATGCCGTTCCGAGGGAACGATGAACCTCATACACAACCGGTGTGAGTTCGCCGATCGCCAGGTTGTACGTCTGCAAGAAACACCTGATGCTGTCCCTGATGGCCAGACACCACACACGGTTTCGCTGTGTGTGTACGATGAATTGGTTGATGTTACAAAACCCGGCGACCGCCTTACTGTTACT